ATTAATAAAATGAAAGATAAAAATAATTGAATCATTAAAAAAAAAGATGAAGAAGCATTCGATGCAATTCAACATCTACTCATGATAAAAACCCTCAATAAAGTAGATATAGAGGAAATATACCTCATCATAATAAAGACCATACATGACAAGCCCACAGCCAACATCATGCTCAATGATGAAAAGCTGAATGCTTTTCATTTAAAATCAGGAACAAGACAAGGATGCCCACTCTTGCCACTTTTATTCTACATAGTACTGGAAGTCCTAGCCAAAGTAATTAAGCAAGAAAAAGAAAGAAAAGGCAATCCAAATTGGAAAGGAAGAATTTACATTGTCACTATTTGCAGATGACATTATATATAGAAAACCCCAAAGACTCCACCAAAAACTTGTTAGAACTAATTAATAAACTTAGTAAAGTTGCAAAATACAAAATCAATTTACAAAAGTCAGTTTTGTTTCTATATACTAACAATGAACTACTAGAGAAATTAAGAAGATCCTATGAATAATAACATCATAAAGAATAAAATACTCAGGAATAAATTTAACCAAGGAGATGAAAGATCTGCATGCTGGCAACTATAAAACATTGATGAAAGAAATTGCAGACAGATTTCTCCCAAAGAAATCCAGACTAATGGATTGGAAGAATTAATATTGTTAAAATGTCCATACTGACCAAAGCAGTCTATAATTCAATGGCAGAAAAAGAAAAAACAATCCTAAAATCCATATGGAACCATGAAAAGATCCCAGGCATCCAAAACAATCTTGAGAAAAGAGAACAAAACTGGAGGTATCACACATCTGGATATCAAATTATATTACAAAGCTGTTGTAATCAAAACAGCATGGTATCACCATAGAAACATGTATATAGATCAATGGGACAAAATAAAGAACCCAGAAATAAACCAATTAATTTACAGCAAAGGAGCCAAGAATATACAATGGGGAAAGGATAGTGTTCTTTAATAAATGGTGTTGGGAAAACTGTATATCCACATACAAATAATGAAACTGGATCCCTATTTTGCACCATCAAAAATGAACTCAAAATGTATTAGAGACTTCAAAATAAGACCTGAAACTGTAAAACTACTAGAAGAAAACAGGGGTAAGCCCCTTAACACTGGCCTTAGCAAGTTTTTTAAAAAATAAGACACTATAAGTATAGCAAAAGCAAAAATTTAAGTGGAAGTGACTGTGTTAAATTAAAAAGCTTCTGCTTACAAAGGCAATCAACAAAATGAAAAGGTAACCTATAGAATGGGTGAAACTATTTGCAAACCATTATTTGATAAGGTGTTCATATCCAGAATATATGAGGAACTCATTTTATTTAATAGAAAAAAACAAAACAACCCAATTAAAAATGAGTAAAAGACTTGAATAGACATTTTTCTAAGAAGACATACAAATGGCCAATAGGTGCATGAAAGCATGCTCAGCATCACTAATCATCAGGGAAATGCAAATCTAAACTATAATGAGATAACCGCTTCACATCAGTTTGAATGGCTATTATCAGAAAGACAAGAGATAAAGCTGGCAAGGATGTGGAAAAATCAGAACCCTTATGCACTGTTGGTGGGAATGTAAATTGTTATAGACATTATGGCAAACAGTATGGTGGTTCCTCAAAAATTAAAAATTAAAGTACCATATGAGCAAGCGATTTGCTTCTAGGTATATATCAGAAGGAAATGAAATCACTATCTCAAAGAGGTATCTGCATCCCCATGTTCATTGCAGCATTATTCATAAAGATAGAC